ATGAGTTTGGAAGTTTTCCTTCCATTTCTATTTTTTGGAACAGTTTCAGGAGAATAGGTATTAATTCTTCTTTAAATGTCTGATAGAATTCCCCTGGGAAGCCATCTGGCCCTGGGGTTTTGTTTGTTGGGAGATTTTTGATGACTGCTTCAATTTCCTTAGGGGTTATAGGTCTGTTCAGGTTTTCTATTTCTTCCTGGTTCAATTTTGGTAGTTGATACATCTCTGGGAATGCACCCATTTCTTCCAGGTTATCTAATTTGCTGGCACAGAGTTGCTCATAGTATGTTCTTATAATTGTTTGTATTTTTTGGTGTTGGTTGTGATCGCTCCTCTTTCATTCATGACTTTGTTGATTTGGGTCATTTCTCTTTTCTTTTTGATAAGTCTGGCCAGGGGTTTATCAATCTTGTTAATTCTTTCAAAGAACCAGCTCCTAGTTTCGTTGATCTGTTCTACTGTTCTTCTGGTTTCTAGTTCATTGATTTCTGCTCTGATCTTTATTATTTCTCTTCTCCTGCTGGGTTGAGGCTTTATTTGCTGTTCTTTCTCCAGCTCCTTTAGGTGTAGGGTTAGGTTGTGTATTTGAGACCTTTCTTGTTTCTTGAGAAAGGCTTGTACTGCTATATACTTTCCTCTCAGGACTGCCTTTGCTGTATCCCAAAGATTTTGAACAGTTGTGTTTTCATTTTCATTGGTTTCCATGAATTTTTTTAATTCTTCTTTAATTTCCTGGTTGACCCATTCATTCTTTAGTAGGATGCTCTTTAGCCTCCATGTATTTGAGTTCTTTCCGACTTTCCTCTTGTGATTGAGTTCTAGTTTCAAAGCATTGTGGTCTGAAAATATGCAGGGAATGATCCCCATCTTTTGGTACCGGTTGAGACCTGATTTGTGACCTAGGATGTGATCAATTCTGGAGAATGTTCCATGGGCACTAGAGAAGAATGTGTATTCGTTGCTTTGGGATGGAATGTTCTGAATATGTCTGTGAAGTCCATTTGGTCCAGTGTGTCATTTAAAGTCTTTATTTCCTTGTTGATCTTTTGCTTAGATGATCTGTCCATTTCAATCAGGGCGGTGTTAAAGTCCCCCACTAGTATTTTATTGTTGTCAATGTGTTTCTTCGCTTTGGTTATTAATTGCCTTATAAAATTGGCTGCTCCCATGTTAGGGGCATAGATATTTACAATTGTTAGATCTTCTTGTTGGATAGACCCTTTAAGAAGGATATAGTGTCATTCTTCATTTCTTATTACAGTCTTTGTTTTAAAATCTAATTTGTCTGATATAAGGATTGCCACCCCAGCTTTCTTTTGGTGTCCATTAGCATGGTAAATGGTTTTCCACCCCCTCACTTTCAATCTAGGGGTGTCTTTGGGTCTAAAATGAGTCTCTTGCAGACAGCATATCGATGGGTCTTGTTTTTTAATCCAATCTGATAGCCTTTGTCTTTTGATTGGGGCATTTAGCCCATTTACATTCAGGGTAACTATTGAAAGGTATGAATTTAATGCCATTGTTATTGCCTGTAAGGTGACTGTTACTGTATATTGTCTGTGTTCCTTTCTGATCTATGCTGCTTTTAGGCTCTCTCTTTGCTTAGAGGACCCCTTTCAATATTTCTTGGAGGGCTGGTTTCGTGTTTGCAAATTCCTTTAGTTTTTGTTTGTCCTGGAAGCTTTTTATCTGTCCTTCAATTTTCAATGAGAGCCTAGCTGGATATAGTATTCTTGGCTGCATATTTTTCTCGTTCAGTGCTCTGAAGATCTCATGCCAGTACTTTCTGGCCTGCCAGGTCTCTGTGGATAGGTCTGTTGCCAATCTAATGTTTCTACCATTGTAGGTTATGTATCTCTTCTCCCGAGCTGCTTTCAGGATTTTCTCTTTGTCTCTGAGACTCGTAAGTTTTACTATTAGATGTTGGGGTGTTGACCTATTTTTATTGATTTTGAGAGGGGTTCTCTGTGCCTCCTGGATTTTGATGCCTGTTTCCTTCCTCACATTAGGGAAGTTCTCTGCTATAATTTGCTCCAATATACCTTCTGCCCCTCTCTCTCTTTCTTCTTCTTCTGGGATCCCAATTATTCTAATGTTGTTTTCGTCTTACCGTATCGCTTATCTCTTGAATTCTGCCCTCGTGATCCTGTAGTTGTTTCTCTCTCTTTTTCTCAGCCTCTTTATTTTCCATCATTTGGTCTTCTATATCGCCGATTCTCTCTTCTGCCTCATTTATCCTAGCAGTTAGTGCCCCCATTTTTCATTGCACCTCATCAATAGCCTTTTTGATTTCAACTTGGTTAGATTTTAGTTCTTTTATTTCTCCAGAAAGGGTTTCTCTAATAACTTCCACGCTTTTTTCAAGCCCAGCTAGTATCTTTAAAGTCATGATTCTGAACTCTAGGTCTGACATCGTACTAATGTCCGTATTGAGTAGGTCCCTGGCTGACGGTACTACTTCTTGTTCTTTTTACTGAGGTGATTTTTTTCATCGTCATTTTGTCCAGAGGAGAATAGATGAATAAGAGAACAAAATGCTAACAGGTTAACAACATCCCCAGCAAATATACTCTATACAAACCAGAAAAGACCTGAAACCAGGGGAAAAGAAAGGGAAAGAAAGAAAAAAGAGAAAAAAAAACACAAAAACTAAAAGATAAAAACAGAAACAGAACAATACAAAAAAAACAGAATATGATCAAATATGATCAGTCTAGTGCATAGATCAGTGCCACACACTAGATTTTGGGTATATTTTGGTCTGTTAGAAAAAAAGTGCCTCCTAAAATTTTAAAGGAAGAAAGACATATGTACAAAATAAAGGTTGATACCATGGAGGGATGGAAGATGACTGTAAAGATAAAAATTATAAAAGATTTTATAAAAGGAATTGATAAGATAAGAAGTTGTTTGAAAAAAGAAAGAAGATTTAAAAAAAAAAAAAGGGAGACAATGTGATCAGGCAGGAGACTAGAACCAAGCCATACACTTGTGATTTAGGGTATATTTTGATCTGTTAGAAGAAACTGTATCTCAAAATTTTAAAGAGAGAACAACATATATATATGCCAAAAATAAGGGTAACTACTATGAAGGGATAAAATATGACTCTAAAAATGAAAAATAAGAAATGTTTTTTTAAAAAAGGGATTGATAAGATGTTGGTTGAAAAAGGGAAAAAGAAAAATAAAAAAAAAAGTTAAAAAAAATTAACTTTGAAAAACTAATGAATCATAGTAAAAAAAAGCCATGAATTCTATGTGCAGTATTCCCCTAGCGGTGGAGTTCTCCCATTCTCCTTAATCGGTAAACTTGGTCTTGGCTTGCTGGCTGTTCGTGCTGATCTTCTGGGGGAGGGGCCTGTTGCCGTGGTTCCCAAATGTCTTTGCCAGAGGTGGAATTGCCCCGCCCTTGTCGGTCTGGGCTAAGCAAGCTGCTTGGGTTTGTTCTCAGGAGCTTTTGTTCCCTGCAAGCTCTTGGTACAGCTTTGGAGGACCAGGATGAAAATGGTGGCCTCCCAATCTCCACCCGGAAGAGCCGAGAACTCGGGGCCCCGCTCCTCAGTGCGCCCCCAGAGAAAAGCAGTCACTCCCGTCTCTCTGGTCTCCGGCTGCACTCCGTGCTCACTCGGCCTGTGACCGAGCGTTTCTATCTCTGGCACCCGATCCCGTGTGGAGTCTCCAAACCCAGCAGATCCCTGCGGTGCGCTCCCGCGCCACTCCTCCCCGGGAAGGAAGGGGAGTCTCCCCAGCTCTGCCGCTTGTTGGGTCCCTGCTGGAGGAGCAGAGGCCCGACTGGGCAGCGGATCACAGTTTATGGCAACCCCGAGCTGAGCGCCCGCGCCTCGGCTCTGTCTCTGCAGCTGGCTTCCCCGCCCCGATACCTGGGAGCTCTGCCGCACTCAGGCACCCCCGGTCTTTCTGTGACCCCGAGGGTCCTGAGACCACACTGTCCCACGAGGGTTCCACCCCCCGCTTAGCCACTAGAGCGACGTCCCTCAGCGGAGCCGGCTTCTAAAAGTTCCGATTTTGTGCTCTGCGGCTCTATCACTTGCCAGAAGCGGCTGACGGAGGCCCCCTCCCCCGCCGTCTATCCTCCTGACTATCGCCTCGGATTCACTTCTCTGCACGTCCTACCTTCCAGAAAGTGGTCACTTTTCTGTTCAGAGAGTTGTTGCTACTCTCTTCTTCGATCTCCTGTTGAGTTCGTAGGTGTTCAGAATGGTCTGATCCCTACTCAGCTGAATTCCCGAGACCAGGCGAAATCCAGGTCTCCTACTCCTCCACCATCTTGCTCCGCCCCCAGTACCTCTTTAAATTTTTGCAAAACCGGGTACCTGGGTGGCTCAGTCAGTTAAGCGGCTGCCTTCGGCTCAGGTCATGATCCCAGAGTCCTAGGATCGAGTCCCGCATCGGGCTCCTTGCTCAGCAGAGAGCCTGCTTCTCCCTCTGCCTGCCTACCCCTGCTTATGCTCTCTCTCTCTCACTCTCTCTGTGTCAAATAAATAAGTAAAATCTTAAAAAAAAAAAAAATTCTGCAAAACTGCTAAGATATTTGTTTGGTGGCAAAACAGGCCCTCTACTTCCGAAATAATTTTGCTCTAAGGGGGAAAAAAACAAAGTGATGACTTATCAAAGAGTCATATATTGTTAAACTTAATGATTTAATAAATATAGGAGATTAGCCAAAACAGTCTTGATTAGATCAGACATCAGCATTGTAGCTGAAGTCATATCCATTATGCGAGAATAGTTACTCTGCAAAATTACTTTATAAAGAAGCAAAAAGTACAAGTGTATAGACAGATCCAGACAGGAGCTGTTAATATAAACATTTTATTAGCCTGACTTGATGTTGCTCCTCTTTTAACCGATTACTTTGTAGCTAACTCCCATGAAGTATATATAACCATTCAAACACTTGAAAAACAAAACATTTGTTTTTATCCTAAAGTCATAGTTACATAGAATTAATACACTCTTCAAGTAAGAATTTCTTACTTTAGACCATGAAAGATCAAGGAGATCAGCGGTGTGTCCTTTATATTTGCAAAATGGCCGCTGCCGAAATGGTGCATTTTTATCATCAGGGTCTTCATCAGCTCCACTGCATACCTATTTAGATATAAAGACAAATGTTAAAACTAGAAAAACAAAAGCTTCATACTCTTCCCACCCCAACAATTCTCTCATCATTTTGTATGCTGCCTGACTGAAATCTTGATCTACCAAAACCAAACTCCCCTTTACAATGAATCTATGACTTATCACTCATTCACCTCCTTGTTCCAATAAACCAGGATCATCCCTGAAGGCTGTGCTATCACAATCTTTCCCTCCCTAAGAGAGCTCCCACTTTGTCCTTTTCTGAGCATTTGCTCCTTCCGGGGGGGTGGGAGCCAGCACCAGGGGGTAAATGATTGGTCTGAGCTAATCAAAATGAGCTCATTCCCTTTCCCAGTGATGATTGGTTTAGGCATGGGCATGTGCTACAATTTTTTTCAATTAGACATGACAGAAAGTTTATTGGGGGGTGGGGCGTGGAGACAGGGGAGAGGCTTCCAGAAAGATTTCCTCACTCTTAAAAAGGGACATACTACAGGGATGTTCTTTCCTTCCTCTGAACATTGCTGTCTGTGTGACACCTATGACTCGTTGCCATCTTACTACCATGAGGGGAACAAACCTAAGGACAGACAAAGAAGAGCAAAGCAGGAGGCTGGCAGAACCCTGTGTCCCTGATGACACTACTGAGCTGCTGAATTAACCAACCCTGGAACCGCCTTACCTCCAGACTTGCTTCCTCATTGTTTAAGCCATTTTCAGTTGGATTTCTGTTATTTGAAGTCAAAAGCATCCTGACAGAGGTAGGTAGAAAATAATGCCATACGTGTGTGCCATGCATTTAGTTTACAACATGCTTTTGTATTCATTATCTGAATGAATCCTAACAACTCTGTCAGGTAGGTAGTAACATTATGGAGATGAAGAAATTAAGAAAAACACCTGAGGCTCAAAGAGATCAAAATAACACATTAAAGCTCACACAGCCACCTATAAACAGCAGAACCAAAGCAGAAACACAACTCTAAGTCCAAAGATTGTCCCTCAAATGTTTTAGAGAATGTAGTATGAGCAAAAATACGGACCTGTTAGCTAATAAGCCCTGCATATTTAAGGAAGGACAGGTAGGATGATGTGGACCAGGAAGAAGTTGTATGGAGATATAGCAGGGGATTAGGGCAGAAAGGTACTTTGAGACCAGATCATAATGGGCCTCGCATTTGTGGCTTAAGAGTTAGGATATTCTAAGGCAATGGAGAGCCAGCACAGGCTTCCGAAAAGAAAGGACAACACTATGTGACCGGTGCTTTAGGAAGAGAAAGCTAGGCAGTAAGGTAAAAGATGGCGGGGAGAAAGAGTGGAGGCAGAAGAGCAGTCCGGAAGTGTAAATAAGAATAAGGAGGGCTCGAACTAGGCCAGGAGCCATGGCACAGGTAAGAGCTACCACCACTATTTGCCTGAAACTTTACAGTGTAGAAAAACATCTTCCTATCCACTGTGGAGGGAGAGCAGCTACGGGATGCCCTGACCTTTTGCCAAGCGCTCTTAATCCTAGAGGACTACGGCTTGGGCCTCTTCTTGTACGCCCAGCCTAGTGAGCACAGCTGGCGCACATAAAACTAAACAGGCTTGACCTATTGCATAAAACTCAACCTTTTAATAATCATTTACATTTCATTAAGTCCTCAGCATCATTCCTCTAGCAGTGATTCCAGATCTTATTTTTCTCCTCAAACATCCATGTTCTTCTCCTTGTATTCTATATTTTCTTTCAAAATATTTAAACACATCTTTTTGATTATAAATACATGGCCAGTGTAGATAATTCAGAAAGCACAGGAAGTAGAAAAACTAAAATTAAAACAATAATCTGCTAACATTATGACTGCCTTCATCTTTCTTTTTTTTTTTAAAGATTGTATTTATTTATTTGACAGAGAGAGAGACAGTGAGAGAGGGAACACAAGCAGGGGGAGTGGGAGAGGGAGAAGCAGGCTTCCTGCTGAGCAGGGAGCCTGATGCGGGGCTCAATCCCAGGACTCTGGGATCATGACCTGAGCCAAAGGCAGATGCTTAACAACTGAGCCACCCAGGCGCCCCTTATCTTTCATTTTTTAAAAAAATATTCATTTAAATCACAGAGGATTCAGTATCTTCCTTTCTATTATACCATGAGCATTTTTAGTAATTCACTCTCTGAAAACATTTACTAGCTGCCTATCAATATGCTATAATTTAATCATTCTCCAGTTGATTGGTCATTTAGACACTTCCAATTTTTTGCTAGAAGAGCAATTCAATGAACATCCTGCAACATGAATCTTTATGTCTATTTTATTATTTATTTATCCTAATATAAAGGGTATTATGGTCAAAAGGTTTTAAACTTGGAGACTTTGACAGTATCTTCTGTTATTTATTTTAATAAAAGCAGGTATGTTTACTAAAGAAAATTTTAGGGGTGCCTTGCTCCCTGCTCAGCAGGGAGCCTGCTTCTCCCTCTCTCTTTCTGCCTGCCGCTCCCCCTGCTTGTGCTCACTCTCTCTCAAATAAATAAGTAAAAATCTTAAAAGAAAAATAAAGAAAATTTTAGAAGTACACAGGAGTTAAAAAAAAAAAACCTAAAATCCCACCACCTAGAGATGACTACTAGTAATTATTTAGTATATTTCTTTTCTTTCCCAAAGATTTTATTTTTTTAGTAATCTCTGCACCCATTGTGGGGTTTGAACTCAGAACCCCGAGATCAAGAGTCACATGTTCTACTGACTGAGCCAGCCAGGCACCCCAAATTTAGTGTATTTCTTTGAAATTTTAATATATATTTAGATATTTTTAATCAAAACTGGGATAATACTGTATTCAATTTTTCCATTCTGTTTTTCACTTCACATTTTATTTTGAATATTTTTGATGTCATTAAATAGTCTTTGAAAACAATTTAAGGACTGCATAGTATTCTACTTCAAGAATTATACCATGTTTTTATTTTCCAATTGTTAAAAAATTTTAGTTGTTTAAATTTTAGCTATCGTTAGAATACTAAGATGAAAATCTTTTTATTTACTTCCTCAAGCCTATCTGATTTCCTTTTTTCTTCTAAAAGATTTTATTTGAGAGAGAGAGCATGCGTGCAGGCACGAGCACGCAGGTGCTTGTGAGCACGAGTGTGGGGAGGGGCAGAGGCAGAGGGAGCAGCAGACTCCCAGCTGAGCAAGGAGCCTGACCTGGGGCTGGATCCCAGGACTCTAAGATCACCACCTGAGCTAAAGGCAGCCACTTAACCAACTGAGGCACTCAGGCACCAGTCCTTTTTTCTTTTTAAAGTAAGCTCTACACCTAAGGTGGGGCTTCAACTCAGGATCCTGAGATCAAGTGTCCCTTGCTCTACTGATTGAGCCAGCCAGGTACCCCTATCTGATTACTTCTTTATGATAGATTTTTAAAGGTAGAATTATTAAAGGTAGAATCACCAAAATGTTATGCATTTTATCTATATGTATACATCTCTATAAACAGATATCTACATCTAGAGAGATATTTATAGTTCTGTATAAAAGTATATATTTATGTCTCTATATAAACATATATACAACTTTATTATGACTATTTCCAAATATACACAGAAGTAGAACAATGTAATAATGGTAGAACAAACCCAATACATCCATCACCTGCTTTAATGGTTATCAGTATTTTACATCTTGTTTTAGCAATCCTCCCACTTTTACGTATGTGCTTATTTTTGCTGGAGCACTTAAAGCAAGATCTGAACACCACTGATTTTACCAGTAAATATTCTTTATGTATTTCTAACTAATAAGCCCTCTTTTAAATATAACTACTATGCTGTTAGCACACCTAAAAAAGTCATTTTATTTATTTATTTTTAAAAGATTTTATTTATTTATTTGACAGACAGAGGCACAGTGAGAAAGGGAACACAAGCAAGGGGAGTGGGAGAAGCAGACTCCTTGCTGAGCAGGGAGCCTGACATGGGACTCAATCCCAGGACCCTGGGATCATGACCTGAGCTGAAGGCAGATGCTTAACGACTGAGCCATCCAGGCACCCCTAAAAAAAGTCATTTTAAAGTTGGACTGCTATGAAAACTTGTAAGCCTTTTGATATTTATTAGCACTGACTATATACCAGATACTGTGTTAGTTATTTGAGATAACAAAATAAATTTCTTAGTTTCTAAATTATCTAGTCTCAGTATTTAAAAGCCAGAATGAACCTTTTAAAATATGTCAGGTTAGGGCGCCTGGGGGGCTCAGTTGGTTGGGCGACTGCCTTCGGCTCAGGTAATGATCCTGGAGTCCCGGGATCGAGTCCCGCATCGGGCTCCCTGCTCAGCGGCGAGTCTGCTTCTCCCTCTGACCCTCTTCCCTCTCGTGCTCTCTCTCTCATTCTCTCTCTCTCAAATAAATAAATAAAATCTTAAAAAAAAATATGTCAGGTTATGTCATTCTCTGTTCAAAGACCCTTCACTGGCTTCCATCTCTCTTAGAGTAAAAGCTGAAGTCCTTGTAATGGCTTACACATTGTTTGCCCCATCCACACCTCTGTGACTTCATTCTTTTCTTTTTTTTAGAGAAAGATGGGGGGCAGAGGGAGAGTGAGAGAGATAATCTCAAGTAAACTCTGCACTGAGAGCGGAGCCTGACACGGGGCTTGATCTCACGACCCTGATAGCATGAGCTGAACCAAAATCAAGAGTGGGAGGCTTAACTGACTGAGCCACCCACGTGCCCCTGTGACTTCACTTTCTACTTTCTCCCTTGCTCACCAGCACTGGCTACTCAGGCCTCAATGCTCTCTCGCTCTCTCTCTCTCTCTCTCTCCTTTTTTTGGCTTTTTAAGTTTTTATTTTAATTCTAGTTAGTTAACATACAGTGTTATATTAGTTTCAGGTGCACAATATAAGGATTCAACAATTCCGTATATCACCCAGTAATCATCAGAAGTGCACTCCTTAATCCCCATCACCTACTTCACCCATTCCCCCCCATAATGCCATTTCTTGAACACACCAGAACTCACTTGCC